CGGTAACGTCGTGGCCGCCCATGTTGATGTTATTCTCCGGCGTTCTTGGTCGCGGCGGAGGAAGCTCATCCGGAGCGGGACTGTTTCCGCCAAAGATGTCGTCGTCTGGAGAGAAGACCGAACGTCTACGACCAGCGGGGCGTTCACGAATGACGGCTGTTTTGGAAACGTTGATCTCGTGTACCTCATCAAAGGGGTCTTCCTTCTCGATGGGGTCCGGCGACGCAGCGTCGAATCCGCTCATGATAGAGGATGAGTCCACGTCCATGCCCTCCAACTCATCTTCATCAGGCGACGCGAGTGCAATGATACCCTCGGCTTCCTCCCAGAGACCTGCGTTGGAGCCGCCGAGCATATCCAGATCTCGGCCATGGCGACACAAACGCTTGAGATCGTTGACGAGCAGCGAGAGCTCTCTAATGTGACCGGAATGCTGCTTGAGGCTAGGTTGTGACGCTTGAATAGAGGCGGGAACAACCATTGCGAATGCGTTTTCGGTTTCCTTGTCTTCGCTCTCGTTGCCACCAAACTCAAAGTCATCGTCCCAGTCCTCGCTGACGGTCTTGCTACTCAGGCCCCAGGTGCCGAATTTGGGATTCACGGGTCCTCTGTCTGTAGGATCGTGGACTACTGGCACACTTTGGCTGCGAACGTGCATGGCTGAGGGTCGCATCCGGATAGCGGCGCGACCACCTCTGATATCGAGTTCCTGCTTTCCATAGGCGGTCTTGGGTCTGAAGGAGGTGCCCAGGTCGGTCTTCTCTTGAGTTGGCTCGCTCCAGTCAAATATGTTGCTTCTCGGCCTCTCGCTAGGGTCGTGCGTTGCATCGGCGTTGCCGTTACCGCTAATGTTCGCAAGCGCCATGCGCAAATTAGGGCTAACGCCACGCGAGTTCATCGAGCTAGGAGGCGATAGCTGGTTGCTGTAGGCCATTTCGTCTTCGTCGCGTGCCCAATCTTCATCGAAATCGTCTTCGATAGAAAGGCGACCAAAGTCCTTGCTTCCGAGCGAGTACTCATTCGAAGGGCGTTCCAAGCTGTAGCGCGGTGCCATGGTATCCGAATCGGTACGAATTCTGGGTTCATGATGAACACGTACCGGCGTCGGCATGTTTTCGTCCTCTTCCATAATCCTCTCGTTAGCATCCCACGAGTGACTGAGCATTTCCTGGATGGACAGCCTCTTTGCTTTGGGATGACCGGCAGTGCTTGGGGGCGACTCATCAAACATGTGGTCGAGTGGGGTTTCCGCTGCGCGATTGCGATCGGATTCGGCAGTTCGTAACGAGTCAAAGACAGTATCGCTCTGTAAGTCCGTGTCATAATCGTCACCAGAAATAAATCTAGCATCGAAATCGGAACTGTTCATGGTCGAACTGCGGTCTGTCGTAGCGCTGCGATTATAAGCAGCTAGCGCTGCCGAGCCCTGGGAACTGCCAGAAGGATGTATCGAGCGGGGAGATGGAGTAACGCCTCCCGACGAGGAGCCAAGTCTAGAAACGTCGACGTTGAAGCTGGAAAGACGTGAAAGCGGCGGCAAGGGCGACGAAGAGTTGCGACTGCGAGTTCTGAGGTGCGTATTGGAAGTGGGGTCAAGGCTGGCGGCAGGGTGATGCTTTGGCGACGTTTGAGACTCGTCTGCAGGCGCAACAAGGTTGTTGTCTTGCGCTTGCGCCTGGCCGGGGGATGTCGTCGTAGGCGCAGACACATGCCGCTTATTCCCACCACCACCACCACCACCTTTGGATCCCGCCCCGCGTTTTGTTCGTCGGAGGCTGCCAGCTCTTGGCATCCAGTTCGGGGAGTTGAAATGCATTGTGAGCGATCGGTGTGTGCGCTTTGTCGGTGTATCTTCTGGTGTTGACGGGGTGTTGTCTTCTTGTGATTCTCTCCCTGTTTCCTTCTCACCATCAAGTTCCTCGTTGGTGTCGTCGATGGCTGATGGGGGATCTTCGACAAGCACCAGGGCTTCTTCAACGGGCGCAACCGAGTCTCCCAGCATGCCACTCCTTATTAAGTAAATATCTTGCTTCTGGCTGTCGGGTACCAGTATGCGTTTTGTTGTCGCCGATCGGGTGCTGGGACTCCTGTCAATTATACGGTCAGGCACGCTCCGTGCAATGACATTTGCTCTGCGATTGTGGAAAAAAGAGGTCCACTTGGTTGTTGATTTTGTTTTTTGCTGCAGGGTCGATTCGCCTTGGGGCCGCGGTGGCACGAGACCTTCTCCTGCTTCTTGAAGATATTGGTCAAAGGAGAACTTTGGTTCTGCGATCGGCTCGATGTGGTTTCCGTCGTAATTGATCTGGTGCAAAGTGGCAGATCGTTGGTGGCTCGTCGCTGGTCGGCGAAGACTGGGAAGGTGTGTCCTGGAGCGACGGCGCATTACAGCACCATTCTGATGTGCCGAGGGCGGGCGCTTCACCAGTTTATTCGGAGGCAAAGGAGGAGGAATAGAACCGGTAGGCGAAAGAATGGGAGCGGCTGAACCGTGAGAGAAAGCGACAGACTGATTATCGAAACCCAAACTCGATCTGATGCTTCCGTGTTGCGACAAAGGCCGTAGTGACAGGCGTCTCATCCAGGACCCACTAGAGGAAACCGAGTCTCTCGTATCCTCATTGACCGAGGGCGCAGTTGCTTGATCTCCCTGCTTCACGTAGGACGCTCTCCTGCTGTGCAATATGGAGGGCGCAAAGTTGAAGTGAGAGCTGAGAGGACGGCGGGGGCGCGCAGAGGGTTCGGCCGGGGCGTCGTTTGGGTTTGAATTCGAATTCGAATTCGAGTTCGAGGTAAAGGAGAAATGAGTGGGAAGTGGCGTGTAGCGGGCGTCGTCGAGGGTCGGCAGCTGGGCAACAGAACTGGTGCCGGGCCGTGAGGAAGAGACGGGAGGGCTGCTCAGTCGATGATTCGGAGGAATGTCTTGGTCTGAGACTAGTATCCTCCTGTTGGAAGAAGACTGTGTGGAACTCGAATCGTCGGGATGAGCAAACACTAGACCTACAGCCGCTGCAGCAACGGCAGTGCCAGTTCCCACGAGCTAATGAGGCGACGAGTCAGCAGGCAAGATGGGATGAACCAGGCAAAAGAGGGACAAGATATCAGGGACACCGGTGCTGCGTGCTGGGAAGCATGGGAATGGAGGAGTATATGGGAAATGAGGAAGACCCATATAGGGCGGGAATTGGTGTGTCTACGGGAGAAGAAAGCATGCGCAACACAGTATCCGCGTGGTTGTGATCCAAGCAGGTGTTGGGGGGATGCCTGTCGGGGTGGATGGCAAAATGCTAGTAAGCAAGCATGAAGGCAATCCAACTTACACTGGGAACGGTCTGCATGATTGCAGAGCCTTATTCGACGCGGGAGAACCAAGCTACGGCTACGAGGCCCAAGACGGGCATGCGGGCGGAAGAGTCGTGGATGCTCTCGAGAGACGTGGTGAGCATCGTCAAGACATATGGGCCAATTTCTCGGGTCGTATGGTGAGGAATGCGCGCGTCGAGTCTTGATGTGTTTTCCGAGGTGTGGGTGGGTGGGTTGTGTCGCGGTCTCGGCGGGCAGAGAGAAGACGGATTCCAGGAGAGGGAGGGAGTAAGAAGAGAGAGAAAAAGACTGAGAAGTTGGAGAGAGAGAACAGGGGCGCAAGGTTGAATCGAAGTAAAGAAATCCTAGACAGGGCCGTTGGCGAGTTGAGCTGGTGGTGGTTGTGGTGGAGGACGTAAGGTGAGTTGTCTAGTTGAAGAGCGAGAGTGAGGCCCGAGACAGAGAAAGGGCTGTAACGGTAGGGCGAAAGAAGAATCGCACACACGTCGAGCGACCGTGATCTCACACAGACGGATTGGCCCTCGGACAATCAAGTACTACGGCCAATGGGTCCAGGAAACCCCCTCCGTTAGACCAGAATAGAAGGCGAAGGGAAAGAAAAGGACGCTGGGGACCGAAGAGAAGGGAAGAGGAAGAGGAGGAGGAGGAAGAAGCGCGCAAGCGGGTTGAACGCGGTAGAGGTCAGATCAAGCCAGACCCGGACACGGTGAGGTGAAGTAAGGTCCCGTCCCGGTAGAAAGGTAGGTAAGTAGAGGTAAGTAAGTTAAGGTAAGGTGAGGGCGAGTTCGAGAGTGGGTGAGGAGGAGAGCAAGGTGGGTGGAATTGGAGACGGGATGGATGGGTGGACGGGCAGACGGGGTGGGCGAGTTTGGTAGGGTGTGGTTGGTGTGTGTATGGTGTCCGTGGGAGTTTGTTCATTCGTTCTCTCGGATGGTCAAGGTAGTAAGGTCCAAGTCCGGGTCCAGGTCCAGGTGTCAAGGTCCAGGTCAAGGTGTCGGTGCTGATGCCGGTCGGTGCTGGGTGTGGTCTAAAAAGTCCAAGGTTCGGAGAGAGGTCAAAGAGGAATGGACGACGAGAGAAAGCAATGCAGATGCAGAGCAGACGAGAGCACAAAGCAGTCTCTGTGTGCTATGGCAGAGTACAAGTCGAGGAATTGGCAGCTAGCCCGAGTATAGAGGGTGGACACTGGATAGACAGGTCGCTACGGTACGGAGTATGGTATGGATAATGGAGAACAAAAAGAACGAGAAGAGGAAGCAGGGTCGTTGTTCCCAGAGAGGATAAGACCGGGATAGACCAGGCTAGCTGAGCTGGAGACCTTCTCTCTCTCTCTCTCTCTTCGTCTTGACTCTTGGCTGAAGTCTGACGGTCGAGCAGGGTAGGGTGGGCGTGGATCGTCTTGGAGGAATCGGGAATTTGGAGACCCAGGCAAGGCTTGCCAGGACAAGTGGGAGGGGGGGGGGGGGGCAGGGCAGCCGAGGAGGGGAGAAGATACAGTGACAGAGTAAGTCTTGTCTTTTGCTTGTGCCTGTCTGTATTCGCAATCCGTTTGAAGTTGTTATTGTATCTGTGGTTCAGTGTGTTCGGTTGAGAGCGTTGCTGTAGTTGTGGTTTGTCTTCTGTGTTGTTTACTACTCTTTCCCTTGCTTGACTCCCTTTCTTTTTCCTCCTCTCTGTCAATTTTTCTTGTTATTTTTTTTTCTCTTTCCTGTATCCTTTTCATAAACAAAAGCGGGCAGGAAATGGCAGATACGCATGCACAGACACACAGAAAAGAGAGCAAGATGGGAGAATGAGAGCAAGTGGAGCATTGGGGGAATGGGGAATGGCAAGCGGGCCAATACCTGCGCTAACGTACCTGCTGCCATGTACCTTATGTACGTACTCCCCCCAGTACTTCGAGAGATGGAAGTACACGCTGGGAAAGGTACCTCTGGCGCAAGAGCCACCACTAGGCAAGATATGCGCAGGCAGCTGCTAACTGTTCGCAGCCCAGTGCCTCGAGGTACTTTGCAAGGTGCCTTGCTGCGCAGTGAGGGTAAGGATTCAAGGCAGGCGGGTGTCCACTCTCAGGGCACTATCCATGTTTGCAGGTGCATAAGGTACCTGGGACGGCGGGTGGGCCATCGCTAAGTGCCAGGAGTGGCCCTCGCTGGCGCCTCTCTTCCAGTAGCCGTGGACGCGTGGAGCAGCAGGAGATGACTGCTGAACGCTCCGAGCCAGTCGCTGCCCCGGTAAAATGACGGACCTGCAAGCCCGCGCCAAGCACCCAGGGGACCTGCCTGTGATGTCCTGCACCGTCCATTGGGCCATGCCTTGCTTTCCTACTCCGTATAGTACGCAGTAATGCACCTCAGCTACCAGGTACTTGCCGTCCATGCCTTATCCAGCAGTTGGTTCATGTACCTCAATATCCATCTGCCATCAATGTTATACACAATACGACAATTAATTCAACCATTAATCAACGCCTCCTGTTGTTCCCTACACACGCAGTACACTTTCTACAAAGAACAGGCGCAGACGTACTCCGTACTACTTACTCCTTACACAATGCAGTACAGATGCAATGACTAACTTGGAGGTCTACGACTCTCTTTCCTTTTTGTCACAACCTGCCCGGGCATGCTGGCTGACCTGGGCAATAACACACTCAACCTGTCGATAACACACCGCAACAGCCAACACGACTGAGCACAAGAGCAAACTGCTTCCCATCCCACGCCTTGTTAGTCACAAGCAGAGAGTTACCTACAACTGCCCGACGGAATCCTTCCTGCAACGGACCGCTGCTTGTCTTTGTCCTCGTCTCGTCTATTCCTCCTTCCTCGCCCGCTACGCAACTTCTAGCATGGTGAGGCAGCGCCAACCAGCCGCCATGTTCCACTTCTATTCCGCTTCTCATCCTCCTCTCCCGTCTTCTCTACTCCAGATACCAGATACACATGCAATCAAAGTATCCGTACACATACAGAACACTGTGCCCAAAGCAGTACTATCTAGAATGCTCAACGAACCCGCTCTGCAACACTCTTGACTCGAGTCCAGCCTCCATTCAAGCCTCAATGCTTCTTTGTTGCTTCCATGGCCGCCCCTCCTTTTCAAACAACCCAAAACAGGCCAGCTCTCATCCGAACCGATGCTACACTGCTCAGTGCTCACAGAGTACTGTACTCTCGCCACTGCCACCAGCCCACCGGTGCCAGCCCCCCTGCCACTTCACAAAGAGGCTATTCCAGAAACCAACCGAGCCAACGTAAACGTAGGCTTGGGAAATCCGGGCTGCCGTGGGTGCGTGGAAAGAAGAAACACCGAAAGAACACCACCTGTCCTAGCGCAAGATCGGCTGAGACCTGCTATCTCATCTCCTTGGCACAATCCAGTCAGCACCAAACCCCCCGTCTCGCACCCGAAGACTGCCTACCGATACGGTACGCTTTCCTCCTCAAATACCAACCTCTGGTGTTCTCGGCCGGGCCTGTAATGACAGGAAAAAAGGTCACAGGCCGCCTCGTGGCCCTTCTCACCACACGTCCGTTGAAGTCGGAACGCTTGTCCGTGTCTAGGACTCTTTAGTCTCTCGCCTTGCCAAGTTGCCAACATGAACCTGGTCTCACTTGAACCACCTTTGCTTCCAAAACCACCTCCCTGACCCTGCCTAATTCTCGCGTGGTTGCTTGCCGATGGCCATGGAGCAGATGGTACGTGTATCCGAAGGGGGCCGCCGCGCGACGCAGACAACAACAAGCAGCAGCCCACAACAACTCCCGGCGCTTTCAAAGAGCTGACGGAAGACTATCTTTTGCAGGGGCCATGCCTGAGCTGAGAAGCGCCCCCTCACTCTCGGAGAGAAACCCAGGCGTATCGATCTCCGGAAGCGCCGCAGCACTCGCTTGCTTGCTGTTACTCGCCATCTTTTTAATTCAGGCTCGTCCAGCGGCAGCCTACCATTGCTAGCGGATGGCACTGATGGAGCCCGTCTGTGAACCCGTTGGGAACACCTACAGAGTACAGATACATTTACGCCCAAACCATCAAAACCGCATGGCGGCGACATCCCGTCTACACTTTATGTTTTGTTGCCTCTGTGGACATTGTACCGCGCACAGCATAACCTATGAATCCTCAGCTCGTGTTGCCGACCACGTTTGCACGGCGTCAAGCCACGCTCGCTTCACTTCTGACACCTGCAGCAACTCTGCCTGTTTCTGTCTCTCATCTCGAGATTCAATGCCTACTGACGTCGCCAAGTTTGCCCTTGCCTCGTGTTACTGTCGTTGGCCGTCGTCCATTCAGCCCATGGGCACCAGCATGCCGCCATCTGCCGTTGACTTGCCTCATCTCAAGACATACAATGCCATCTTGGACCGCTACACCTTGGAAAAGGTTTCAACGGAAAAAGGTACGGTACGACCACGACCATATCCTCTATTCCTGTTACACAAGCAGAGGAGTCCTTGCCTATCTACCTAGCAGGCGCGCAAGACCGTCCATATGGTCTGTTCCTTGCCCGCAGGCGTACACAGGCCTCAGGCCATGGGGTGGAGGAGGGACCTTGAAGCAAGTGATAGGAGACTTGTAAACACCGGCATCCCAAGTCTTTCTTACCGCGAACCGTTTCCTATCAAGTCGACCAAGGAAGACCCTTTGATCTCGCAGAGACCGGCTCGATTTTTAGCAGCTTTTTCTTCTGCAACCGTCGTCTTCACCTCCACCACCATCACCAACATGGCGCCATCAACCTACTTCGTACTCCTCTGCCTCTTCTCACTCGCCAACGGCGATCCGTAAGCTACCGGGCATCAGTAGACGACCATGGGAAGAGGAGCAAGCAAAACTACATGTACCGGAAAGAATGGGGTTTCGTGGTACGGTGTGCGGGGGATGGAGCTGAAGCATCGGTGTTGGAGATCAGCCAGGCCACCAAAACAGGTCTCCAAAGAAAAGACCAGACGATGCAACTCCATCCGACAGCCACAGAGCCCATAAAGTTCGGCACTACGCACGGAGGAAGTGGCTCTCGTCCTGTTCCCCGCCTCCCGGTATCTTCTTTCAGCTGGTCCGATGCATCAACAAGCCGGGGCCTCTTTTGCTCTTCCTTTCTTTTTTCACCGCCCTCTCTCTCGTTATTCCATCTGATTACCTAGGCCACGGGGGGCAATGTATCTCGGTTTCGTGGTATCGATGCTCCCACTGGCGATCTCTGTAAGACCCTAGTACACATGCGTAGGTACACGCACACACGCACGGCGCGTGCAGCATGTTGCTTGTTATCCCAAGATCTTGTGCTGCGACCGCCAGCAAAAGCCGCGTGGTTGAGCGAGACAACACAGATTAAAGAAGAAACGATGCCCCAGAGACAGACAGGCCGCCGACCCAGCTGGCTGGCCGCCGGTCTGATGTTGTGATGGGATGGGACCTGAGTCTTGACCACCAGTTGAACCATCCACCCCGCCTGCGGTGACGAGGTGACATGGGTGGTAAGACTCGAGAGAGGAACCTACGCAGTATCCAGTATCCACGAGCAAGGGCCCGCGGCTGGTGGGCCACCTGCCGGCCTGTGTTTTGAGTTGCGGTTGCTTGACAGCCATTGACAACGACAACAAACCAAAACAACAACACACAAAAAAAAGCAAAACAAGTAAACATCCTACCCGAACCGGCACACACCATCATCTCACACAACCACCTCACACCACACACCACGAGACACAACGTTGAGATCGATCCTCGCCGGCAGGTACAGTCTTACAGATAACAGAATGGAAGGGGTCCTCCCCCCATGCTGTGTGATCCACGACGCAAGGCCCGTCACAAACATCATTGCCTGGCTGTTGTTAGGTGATACCGCAGGACACGTCGTTTCAACATGCGCATGCCATGTCCTTGAGACAGACCGAGATGGATTACCTATTGGTCTTGATGCCCTGGTCCTTGCCAACGTCAGAAGAGTTTAGCTTGCCCAGACGTTCCATTTCATACCCCGCTCCTTCCATCTCTCCATCGTTCGCAGAGGTACGAAAATGCTTGAAGACTGGGAAAGAAGCTCGGTGGTTATCAACAGTGGGCGAGTACCTACTCCGTACGTAGTAGATTGGGGTGAGAGGCTCAGTCACCCCTCTCCACACCAGATCAAACATCACTCCAGCCTCACCCCCACCGACTCAATACCTACCTTAGATGGAGATGAAGATGTTTCTGCTCCTTTGGGGGAACGAACCACTCTTTCGTTCAAGGCTACCCGTCCAATCAGCATGTCGCCTTTCGAACTGTGGTTTGGGATACACGAATATCCGTCATGCGTCCTTCACCCCCGCTCATGCCATTGGCAATCCAGCTGGGGAGGGGGAAAGAGAGGGTCTGGCGAGACAAGGTCAAGACGACGATCTCCTGTGAGGCTCTCTCCGATTCCGACGTCCCTCTCTCTCTCCGCCAGCCCACGGTGTCCACCAGCCGAGCCTCAATAGCGACTCGTGCTCCCCGCCAGCCATCATCTGCAAAATGGAAGACAAGTGCGAAGAAGAAAATTGCGGCGGCTGGTTTGTGAAGCACTGAGTAGCGAGCACGCACATTTGCGGCGACCTCGTGTCGGTACTCACCCGCACTACTGCCATGTTTTCTTCTCGAGTACCGTAAGTCCGTACAGAGAAAATGAAGAAAACTGCGGGAAAACTCCTAGTTCCGCCTGGCTAGTAGCAAACTTTCCAAGTTTCGCCCATCCCGTCATACCGCAAACCCGAACGCCTCACGCTGTCCATTCGTCAGCCAAACGCACACATCCATATTCGAGGCAACCGCTTGCTCTAGCGGGCAGGGCGTACTTGGCATTTGATGCTTTAGCGTAAAAGCTTTCTGCCCAACCTCTAAGCTTCAGCAAAAGTCGGAAGAAGGGGAGAAGGAAAGAGAAACCAGAGCCGAATTACGATATGTGGCCCGCCATTTGCATCTGCAAATCCGGCATGGCACAAAGAAGATGTATTCGGGAAAGCTCGCTCCACGGGACCCCTGTTATCGTGGGATTCGGGAACCGGGGGGTGGGAGGAACGATCTGACAAAGCCTTGGCCAATCCCATCTGCTGCCGTTGCGAGAAGCTCTTGAGCGTTTCGAGGTGACACAAATGATCCAAATTCGTCTTTCTCTCCCTCAACGTTTGACTGAGGGCTTGAACACCTCATCGTCACAAGCGATTGTTAAAATTTGGAGTAGTCAAGGGTCCAAGGCTAGAGTAGAGAAAGGACCCTTCTCGCCGCGCCCTAAGCTGGACCGAACGAAGCTCTAGCAAATGTCCGGTAGTGCGTGATCCGGCTTTGAGCTTTCGAGAATAACGAAGCTACCGTATCGCCGACCTTTGCGGCCGTTCCAACTAGAGCCGGCAATGAAAGAAACACGAAGCGAAGCCGTCTGGTGCCAGATACATTGGCGCCGCCCAATGAGGTTACCATAGTGTTCCAGATGACCTGATTCTTCGTGTTGCGCATCCATGCAAGGCTCAAGAAGAGAGAGAGAGAAGCGAGGCAAGGAGGGTAATATCGAGTGTATTTTTTGTCCCTCGGTTCATCGAACAAGAATCGAGGTTCAGGCAGGTAGCTCCTCCATGCACAACACACGGCCGGCCAACTAAGTCCGTAAGCCAATTGACCAGCAGGAGCTGCCAAGACATTGCTTCGAGGGTTTACTCCGTCGCTTGGTTGACGCCCAGGCCCGGAGAGATACCAAGTAGGGTTATAAGTTGAGAACTTATGATGGGGTGAGCAGCTTCCGATGGACCGATGAGTTCCATCTCACCTGCAAGATTTTTTTTCATCTGAGAAAGACAGAAAAAGAAAAAGAAAGAAAAGCATGGTGCAGAATAAGCCGCAGACCAGGATCCTCGAACCAGTTGGGATCTCAATCCATCCAGATGCCAGGCAGAGTCGCGACTTGGGAAGCTAGCCCATGCAACGTGTGCATCGAACATCGACCAATGAAGGAGGTTGGTAGGTTATGAGAGGACGTTCGATAGCGCTCGGGGTTTCGACCAGAGGTCCAGGACCAGCGCACACCTCACAAATCCACACAGACTGTTGCCCTGCTAGTCAATTTAACCGCGTGAAACTTGAAACCATCAAAGCCTCTCTTGGTCCGCGGGGTTCGGTACGAGGACGTGGGAATCGGTATGGAGACTCGGAAGGAGGGGAGCTCGAGGGCAATGCGACAAGGCCAAGTTGTGGTCCGGTCTGCCGACGTCCCGGTGGTCGCCTATGCAGACTCCATAGTAAAATAGTGTAAGCCTGCGTCGGAACCTGTCCTTATGCCACTCCCAGGGAACGCTATGCAGCTAGACGGCCAGCTGATGAATGTGTTCTGCAGGTCCTGCAAGATTCCTGCACGACAAGTCAGAAAAAACCTGCCATTGAATATCGTGCATGTAGTTAGTTCTCTGCATCATCCGAAGGATTCGCCAGAGGAGCTACACGCTTCCCATTGACTGGATGTGAGCTTGTGAAGATCGTTCTGCCCGCACTCTTTCCCCTCCCGTAAACCAGACGGGAAACGTTCTCTATGATGGGACCCGACCCCCTTGGCGCTGCCGTTCCGACTCTCCGGTGCGGCGGTGCCGTCGAACCAGAAAAAAGGCACAGGTTCTGTTGCCGACAGACTCTCCAATGACGAAATCTCGATAGGCAGATGCAGAGTCGTCAAAGTGGGACAGAGGTGGATGCTTGATCCATACTTGGAGTCTGAGCAGGGAAGCCTGGCAAAGAGCCTCCAATATCAAAAAAGGCGCGTGTTCTTGATTTAGCTCCGCCCCAGAGAAACGCCGCAGGGAGTCGAGTAGCCAAAGTCAATTGGATATGGCCTTTCCCAACTCGGAGGATCACCGTTGAACGAAGTTTGAATTTCAGTGTGATTCGCGTGCCATCGTAACCCTCACTGTCAATCTCATCACTGTTCCGTTGCCAGTTGGTAGGGGCAGAAGTCAGATAGATCCTGGTCTGTCATCTCGCCAGTACGAGTACCCCAGTCCAGAAAACAATCAAGGTAGGACAGATTCCAGAGAGGGTGGTAGATGTGGGAACGAACTGCGCGCCAGTATCATCGGAATCAAGGTTTTGTCCCGGGGACCCCTAAAGCAAAGCTCTGTGGTTGCCCGATCTGTCTCGCATGCGACTCTGGGCGGGAACAGGAGCCAATATGTGGTCGTATTGGTAGGGCAAAGGTTTTGAAGGAGCAAGTCCAGCCTTGACCGTGAGCAGATATTCCCACTTGACTGCAGCGTCCAACGTGTGACGGAACTAGGGAACTGAATCCCACATTGAACTTCGGTTGGTGTTGGGTCCGCTTTCGGCCATGGAGAGGAGACAATGACCGAACCGTGACTGGATAGGATGACGCGGAATTGTGTCCGGTTCGAGGCCATGTCCACTGTCGCAGTCTACGAGGTCAAAAGGTTTTCGCTCTTGTTGTTGCTGTTGTTGTTGTGCTGCTGCTGCTGCTGTTGTCGCTGTGTTGCCGCCGCCGCCATCTCGTTTTCGTTCATTTTAACGTTTGTTTTTTCCCTTTGAATCTCCATGGTTCATTTCCATCCAAGACACTGATTGCGGCGATGATGTCCCATTTCGTCTTCGCGTGTCCACCCTAGTGAGAGTTTGCACAGATTGTGCAATGAGCATCGAACATCGGAATAACTTTAACCTGCAACTGGGATCCCCGGACGGATCTCCAGCGCATGGCGGACGTAGTATGGCGTGAGCAGGGCTAAGTCTCCCAACGACATTCAAAACTTTCGCATGTTGATGGCTCTTTTTTTTTCCCTCTCCTAGTGTCAGAGACTGATTGGTTGCCATGCGACAAATGAATAGACGATCCTCTGCAGGTCGTCGCGTGCGTCCTACGGCTGACGCGATTACATGCAGCTGCGCGAAACATTACACGCTGTTCGTCCATCTCCGCAAGTCGCGTCGATGGCCAAGGGTACCCAGCTCGATGCTCAGTGATCCGCGGCTCCCCATTCGCTGCTGTTGGTTAGACTAGACTCTGTGATGCTTTTCAGCTGGCCAATGTCAAATTGAGACTTTGGGTTTCATCCATTTTCGGCAATGTAATGTCGGTGACGGCGGTGGCAATAAAGACGTATTTCGATAGAGCATTCCGTCTACAGCTACGGATGGAGCATCAAGAATTGCCGTTTTGCCCGTTTGTCTCAGCCGACTCCACGGTGTCAGGTCAATCGGCGATGTTATCCATGCTGTCGGGACTTTAAAAGAGAGACAACAACAAGTCTGAGTCGGTCTTTGAAGGACGCTGAAATATCGTTCTTCCGGGAAAATTTGACGGAGAGAAGTTTTAGATCGTGCCATCTGATTGCCTCCTTCTGAATTAAAGAGCAACCAGCATTTGGTGAATGCAGGTGGAGTTCACTTCCTCTTTGCACCTGCCTTATTGACAGTGCCGTAGTGTTGTTGCAATACATTTCATTGGTCCAAATGCTGAGACATTAGCCTGGAGTCACTGGACGCTGCTAAGGTGACATAAGCAGCCTTAGAAGACGTCTTCCCGGGCCGAGCTTTATTCCGATTTAGACATCCGAGCCCGGGCAGGGCACTTGATTCAAGGTCCACATTTTGAGGCCTGTCGTGAATATCGCATCTAGATCACAAGTGAAGTCGTCATAAGGCAGTTGCAATAGCCTAGCAAAGTGACAGTATTCTGGGCTTGCTGCTATCTCATTTGTCTCACGTCAAGTCGACTGTCGCAGAGCCAACAGCTTTGCATCGCTGACAGATTCGTTGAAGCAAATTTCTACCACCACCGCCACCACGAACTTACAACTTTTTGAGTAGCAACGATGGATGCGGAGATTAGAACCGTCTTGCCGAACATCGACCCGGTGCTCTCCGAGTACTCGGTCGGATACTTGACTCACGCATCGACCATCTACTCGGACGAGGAAGAGCAGTCTGGCGTCTCACCTCTCGCCGAGGCAGCCGCTACCGTCACCGAGTTATTGCTCTCTGCCTCTGGAAAGCCTGACGCTAAGCTCCAGGAGAAGATTGAGAAACTCGTTGAGAAATGGGTTGAGAAGTACACCGAGTCGAATGGAGGATTGCGAAGCGGCCCTTTGGCCGTCAGGCGCCTTGATGAGACTTTCCAAGTCAGCTCTCAGCGGAACATGTCTTCCACTCTGGCCGTGTCAACGGGAGCTGTCGATCTTGAGTCTGCAAACGCTCGCAAGGTCGAATCAAAGGTTGATCGAAAGAAGCTGGAAAAGGCCGAGCGCAAGATTGCAGCCAAGCAGCAGAAGAAGACCTTCAAGACGGTTGAGTACGAGGCTTCCAGATTGCTCGACGAGCCTGAGTCTACTCAATCATACGAGGAATTCTACATGGCTGTCAACCCTCTCCAGATGGGTGGTTCTGGCGCGAACAAGACCAAGGATATCAAGTTGGACAACATCGATGTCTCCATTGGTGGCCTGCGTATCGTGACCGATACGGACTTGACCCTTTCTTATGGTCACAGGTACGGTCTTGTTGGACACAACGGTGTTGGTAAATCTACGCTTCTTCGTGCTCTGTCTCGCAGAGAGCTGCCAATTCCGCCTCACATTACCATTCTCCACGTCGAACAGGAGGTAAGAGTGAACTTCGGCCACTCTCAACTCTGTTGTATACTGATATTTGCGTAGCTTACTGGTGACGACACCCCTGCGATCCAAGCTGTTCTTGATGCCGACGTGTGGCGCAAGGTTCTTCTCAAGGAGCAGACTGTAAGTGATACGCAGTTATAATTATCTCTGAAAAGTGCCATCATGCTGACAACCTTGTAGGAAATTACTCAGAAGCTGGCAGAGATCGAGACCCAACGTGCGGGCATGGCCGATACTTCGGCCGATGCCGCCAGACTTGACAAGGAAAGAGAAGCTCAAGACGGCAGGCTCGGTGACATCCAGGGCAAGCTTGCCGAGATGGAGTCCGACAAGGCCGAGTCAAGAGCCGCAAGTATTTTGGCTGGTCTCGGTTTCTCTGCCGAAAAGCAACAGAATGCCACCAAGACCTTCTCAGGTGGTTGGCGTATGCGTCTGGCGTTGGCCAGAGCCTTGTTCTGCGAACCTGACCTGCTGCTTCTCGACGAACCGTCCAACATGTTGGACGTCCCCTCTATTGCTTTCCTTGCCAACTACCTCCAAGGATATCCCAGCACGGTTCTCGTGGTTTCTCACGACAGAGCTTTCCTCAATGAGATTGCGACAGATATCATTCACCAACACTCGCAGCGTCTCGACTACTACCGCGGTGCCAACTTCGAATCCTTCTACGCTACTCGCGAGGAACGCAAGAAGACTGCGAAGAGAGAATACGAGAACCAAATGGCCCAAAGAGCCCATCTTCAGGCCTTCATCGACAAGTTCCGCTACAACGCGGCCAAGTCTTCCGAAGCCCAGTCACGTATCAAGAAACTCGAGAAGATGCCAGTACTCGAGCCGCCCGAGACAGAGTACAGCGTGCAGTTCAAGTTCCCTGATGTCGAGAAGATGTCGCCTCCTATCATCCAGATGACAGGCGTGACATTTGGTTACACGAAGGAGAACATCTTGCTGCGCAACGTGGATCTCGACGTGCAGCTAGACTCTCGTATCGGTATCGTCGGACCCAACGGTGCGGGTAAGACAACTATTCTCAAGTTGTTGATCGGAAAGCTGTCGGCCACTTCGGGTATCATTTCGCAAAACCCCCGTCTGCGCGTCGGCTTCTTTGCCCAGCATCACGTCGATGCTCTGGATTTGACGATGAGTGCGGTTGGCTTCATGTCCAAGGAGTACCCTGGCCGGACGGACGAAGAGTACCGCAGACAACTGGGTGCCTTTGGCATCACGGGCACGACAGGTCTGCAGAAGATGGCGGTTCTTTCCGGAGGTCAAAAGTCGCGTGTGGCGTTTGCTTGCCTTGCCTTGACCAACCCGCACATCTTGGTTCTTGACGAGCCTTCTAACCATCTCGATATCGAGGCGATGGACGCGCTCGCTACGGCCTTGCAAGAGTTCCAGGGTGGCGTTCTGATGGTTTCTCACGACGTCACCATGTTGCAGACAGTGTGCACCTCTCTCTGGGTGTGTGATGGAGGCACTGTTGAGAAGTTCCCAGGCGACGTTCAGGCCTATAAGAAGAGAATTGCAGCTCAGGCCGATGCGGCTGGTGTTGTCAAGGCTCATTAAGGGAATATGTCGTGGCCATGATAGTCTACGTAGCTACCATTGTTCCGCAAAATATGATGCCTCGATCGTCAGTCACCTATTCTTTCAGTGATGGGTGCACTTTGTGAACTTTATGAAGTCGATCTGCGTTTGATAGCTCTCAGGCACACCGTTAGCTCATTTGGCAGTGATGGAGCCCCCCTTGCAAATGTTGAGCTCCACTGGCAATTTAGCATTTTCGGTCAGTGCTTGGGGATCAGTGCCGAGCAATTTATGTAATGCCATTCATATCGGTACGTAGGCTCTGTGTTTGACGTTGGCTTTTGGTAGGGCTGCCTGGTGCCGCACCTGCCCCGATTGTTAGAGAGTCCGTGGCTTCCCGAAGCTCAGCACCATTACCTACAGTTCATGCCTTGGTTTCCCGGGTTTCTGATGGAGATGGTAGGCACCTTATCTGGACGTGTCGTTGGATGTTTGGATCCCTCAGCAGATAGTCGGTCACCCCGGGTCTCGGATCGGAAAGAACAGAGGAGACGAAATACAGGGGACCTGAAGGTACGTACTTGCTGTGGTCGCGCTGTCTGCCAATCTGCTGTCACCTCAACTCATTCAACCCCACTTCCAATTGGTCTTTGGGGGGAGACACTGGGGGGGCACTGGGGGCCACTAGGACGGCCACTTGGGGAGACTTGGGTGGTGGTAGGCGGGTGCCTTGCACTGGTCTTTCCCCAATCGGGGTCGTGCACGGGCCCAACTAGCACCACACAGTAAACAAGCGAGCTGCACCCCTTCCCTCTGGCCTGTCGCTGGCCTGTCGCTGGCCTGTCTTCTGGGCGTCCACCGAGCCGTGGCGGTGAACAAAATCACATCCACCCGCAAACAAAAATCAACAACCTCCTCCCCTACCTAACCACACCTTACCTCGCCCAATCCTCCACAACAACCCTTTCGCCTTGAAGCTTCGCCTAGCTCTCGAGCACTCTCTTCGTCTTCTTCATCGTACATCGCCGGCCAACTTAGCTTCAGAGCTTTCCATCATTCAAAATGCGTGAGATTGTAAGTCGCTCTCTCCCATCAACAACAATTCTGCGACGCGTCGGAATGGCCACTATTTCGGGGTAGCCCCTGAGCGTACCCCGCCGATATTCCCACCCAAGCCATGCTCGCCAAACATGGCCCGACTTGCATCTCCAACGCTTCTGTCATGGGAAACATTCCGCTGACCATTGATTGTTTTCTCGCAATAGGTTCACCTTCAGACCGGCCAGTGCGTAAGTATCTCCTGATCTCAACCCAACAAGCCAGAGTGCGGGGCTAACTTCTTTGAACAGGGTAACCAGATTGGTGCTGCCTTCTGGTGCGTAGCCAACCGCCAACGACGCGGCGATTTCGACATTTGACACGATCTCGAACTGACCTTGGTACAGGCAGAACATCTCTGGCGAGCACGGTCTCGACAGCAATGGCGTGTATGTCACTTGTCCTCCAGTGCGGCATCCTCATGGACCCAGCAGCTAATCATACCACAGGTACAACGGCACTTCCGAGCTTCAGCTCGAGCGCATGAGCGTCTACTTCAACGAAGTTTGTTACCCTAGTCCCCCAGTGTGCAGGCAATCCTATTGACGAATGCTGACCTTCTCACCCAACCAGGCCTCCGGCAACAAGTACGTTCCTCGCGCCGTCCTCGTCGACTTGGAGCCCGGTACCATGGACGCCGTCCGTGCCGGTCCCTTTGGCCAGCTTTTCCGCCCCGACAACTTCGTCTTTGGCCAGTCCGGTGCCGGCAACAACTGGGCCAAGGGTCACTACACTGAGGGAGCTGAGCTCGTCGACCAGGTTCTCGATGTCGTCCGTCGCGAGGCTGAGGGCTGCGACTGCCTCCAGGGCTTCCAGATCACCCACTCCCTTGGTGGTGGTACCGGTGCCGGTATGGGTACCCTCCTGATCTCCAAGATCCGTGAGGAGTTCCCCGACCGCATGATGGCTACCTTCTCCGTCGTTCCCTCTCCCAAGGTTTCCGACACCGTTGTCGAGCCTTACAACGCCACCCTCTCCGTCCACCAGCTGGTCGAGAACTCCGACGAGACCTTCTGCATTGACAACGAGGCTCTCTACGACATCTGCATGCGTACTCTCAAGCTCTCCAACCCCTCCTACGGCGACTTGAACCACCTCGTTTCCGCCGTCATGTCCGGTGTCACCACCTGCCTGCGTTTCCCCGGTCAGCTGAACTCTGACTTGCGTAAGCTCGCCGTCAACATGGTTCCTTTCCCCCGTCTCCACTTCTTCATGGTCGGCTTCGCTCCCCTGACCAGCCGTGGCGCCCACTCCTTCCGCGCCGTCAGCGTTCCCGAGCTCACCCAGCAGATGTTCGACCCCAAGAACATGATGGCTGCCTCTGACTTCCGCAACGGTCGTTACCTGACCTGCTCTGCCATCTTGTAAGTGCCACACGACGATGACCCTAGAATATAAGCAAATGCTAACTTTGTCGTTCCCAGCCGTGGTAAGGTCGCCATGAAGGATGTTGAGGACCAGATGCGCAACGTTCAGAACAAGAACTCGTCCTACTTCGTCGAGTGGATTCCCAACAACGTCCAGACCGCCCTTTGCTCCATTCCTCCCCGCGGCCTCAAGATGTCTTCCACCTTTGTCGGTAACTCTACCGCCATCCAGGAGCTCTTCAAGCGTGTCGGTGAGCAGTTCACTGCCATGTTCCGTCGCAAGGCTTTCTTGCATTGGTACACTGGTGAGGGTATGGACGAGATGGAGTTCACTGAGGCTGAGTCCAACATGAACGATCTCGTCTCCGAGTACCAGCAATACCAGGATGCTGGTGTTGACGAGGAGGAGGAGGAGTACGAGGAGGAGGTCCCTCTTGAGGAGGAGGTTTAAGCGCAGTTCAATCGCACTGTCACTATAACCTGACACTACGCCAACCCACCTGTGGTGGCATTTCGCTTCGCGATTCTGGCTTATTGCTGGAAATGGGCTTCTAGATATACCTCTCTTAGTAGTTCGCCTGACGTATCAAATGAGTACGAAGAATCAGAGATTACTCTGTACAAATTACTGGCACAAACAACACCATCATTCAACCCCTTACTCATATGACACTTGCCAATTCTACGAAAAAAAAATGAATTTCCTAGACTCGAAAGCCATGAGAAGCAATGAGCTTGAGCTACCTAACCATACGTTCCAGCCGTAATAACCTTAGGTACCTTAGTTTTCCTCTCGAGCTAAGCAGGGGCCAATCGGAAGTACCCAGGTTGTGGATCGCGCATCGCTGACTAAGACGTGGAAAAGTTGCTGAGGGTCCCCAATTCTAATTGTCGAGGAGCACCTGAGCGAGCGCGCCATTGGGAGGTGTGTTGTAGCTTGCCAATCTCTCCGACGAAACGAACAATGCTGGCCTCCAGGACGGCATTGAGGCGGGCGTTTGCCGCCTCGCCGGCCACGACGATACCAGCCTTCCTTGTGCCAGCTCTTCAACAGCAGCAGCAGCAACCTCGCCAGTTCTCCTCGACGCCGACACGAAACTCCAAGCTCGGGCGGACGCCGGTCTCGATCCCACCGGGCGTGAAGCTGGCTATTAGCGAGCCGAAGCTGAAGAAGGATCCGACGAGCTACTTGAAGGTTTACAAGAGGACGGTTACCGTTACGGGGCCTCTTGGTACGTTTCTCTGGTGGTGTCCATTCGAGAAAGGGGGTGATGGGAGACTGCAAGGGGCTTAGGCTAATGCTGGATTTGTTGGTTTGCTACAGGAGAATTGGATCTCGAGATCCCGCCTTTTCTGAAAATTGATTACGATGTCGAGGGCAGCACGGCGGTTCTCAGCGTGGAGGACTCGAACATCAAGGAGCAGAGCGAGATGTGGGGTGAGTTTCTTTACTATTTTTTGCCGTCTTTTCCCTTCCCTCTCCTTCACTGCCCTCTTCAAGGAAGTTCAAGCTTGTCTTCTCGTCTTCCGCGAGAGTCGAGTCACATCCCAATTGACTGAACGCGCTTTGCTGACTACTTTGAAATCCAGGCACGACATGGGCCTACCTCCAGCGCTACATCATGGGCGTCTCCGAAGGCCACACGGCGATCCTCCGCCTCGTCGGCATCGGCTACCGCGCGAGCGTCGAGCAGCGCGGCCGCCTGGAAGAGTTCCCCGGACAGAAGTTTCTGTGCCTGAAGCTCGGCTTCACGCACCCGGTCGAGATGGGGATTCCGCGCGGCGTGAAAGTCACGGCGGCGAGCCCGACGCGTATCCTGCTCGAGAGCATCGACCGCGAGCTGATGATGAGCTTCGCGGGAAGAGTGCGCAAGTGGCGGCCGCCGGAACCGTATAAGGGCAAGGGCGTGTTTATCGATGACCAGACGATTAAGCTGAAGCAGAAGAAGATCAAATAGACGATTTCGCTGCGCGGACGGTTGGGTTGGGGTGGGAGCGGGGAGAGTACGGGATGTGGTGTGGCACTTCTTTGGGCTTTGGTACCGAGTCGACTGTTGTTGTGGTGTGTCGATGGCAGAGCTTCTGGAGGGCTGTGTATAGCTGTATATCACTGTACGGGGATGGGAAAAGAGAAAAAAGAGACAAACAATGTACACTATTTATCTGCTGGTTCTTCAAGACCGCCGAGGAAAAATCGCAAAATCCAAAAAGTCCAAAACTTCTTTCATATGTTTTTTACTATTATACTTTTCCAAGACTTTTTGCTTAGCTAGATTTCGAGCTCAAGACCTCTTGGACAACCTTCAACACCTCGCCGTGCACCGCAGCCGGCGCGGCAATAACACCCTTATTGTTGGCCAGCGTCCGTCCGACGGCAAAGTCCAACCTCTTGCCCTGGATATCCGTAACCTGACCACCGGCCTCGCGCACAATGAGGTCGCCGGCCGCGTGGTCCCAAATCTTTTCCTGGTACGTCGCCTTGACGGGCAGACGGAGGTAGATGTCGCCGGCACCGCGGGCAATGGAGCCGTATTTGCTCTGGCTGTCCATGCGGACGCTGGGCTTGGTGATGCCGAGCTTGGCAGCGATCTGGGCCTGGTCGTCGTGCGCGCTGTGGCCGGCCTCGACGCTCTCGCAAAAGGTGGCGGCGGAGAGATCGGTGACGGGCTTCATGGAGATGGGGCTGCCGGAGGCGATGGCGCCGGTGCGGAGGGGCCGCGAGGTGGCGCCCTGGCCGAGGACGGCGGAGAAGATGACGCCGTAGCCCGTGTCGTCGTTTGCGTTGGAGCCGATGTCGGCGGCGAGGGGCGCCTTGTCGTCGACGGGAAGGTTGGGGCAGCCGAGGACGCCGACCTTGACGTCGCCGTCGACCATGAGGGCCAGGCAGACGGCGTACTGGCCGCCGCGGAGGAAGCCCTTTGTGCCGTCAATGGGGTCAATGGCCCAGATGCGGCCGGCGGCGCCGCCCTTGCTGTTCCCTTGGTCGATGATGTCCATCATGCTCTCGGCGGAGGCGATGCCGCCGCCGAGGGAGGCTTCAGCGGCGGCGTCGTCGAGCTGGGTGGTCTTTACGAGGTCCCATATCTGGTCGCGGAGCTGGGGTTCGGAGCGCAGCTGGGCGGCCTCCTCCTCGGCGACGATCTCGTCGTCGGGGAAGTGGTGGCGGAGGGCGGCGATGATGAGGGCCTGGGCGCCAAAGTCGCCAATGGTGACGGGGGACTTGTCGTTCTTGTCGACGGTACCCTTTGCCTTTTCGTGGAAGACGCGCTTGGTGAGGATGGAGGCGCGCTGGACGGCCAGCTGGGCCACCTCGAGCTCCTTTGCGTAGGATGACATGGCGGGTTGTGAGTCTCTCTTTGTCGAGGAAGACGAGGAGGAAGAGAAGAGGGTCGTGGTCGTGGTGAGAGGGAAGAAGTGGCTCGAGAGGAGGGAGAGCCGGGGAAGAGCTCGTAGAGATAGGATAGCCAGGGTCACGACGAGGACGGAGGAGATGAGGAGGAAGGGCACGAAAGAGAGACGGGAGGTGGGTTCCTGTCTTGTTTTGTTGTTTCCGCTTGATGGTCGGACCTTGGAGGGCATGGAACTCTAGACGTAAGACGGGAGGTCGAAGGCGGTTTGTGTGGATGCGCAATGTGGATGCGGATAGTGGAGGAGGGGGAAAGTTGTGTCTAGGAGGCAAAGCTCCTTGGTTCCTGGCTCACTCTATGGCTCCAGCATGTGTTTAACATGGCGGCTGTTGCGTCATGGGATGGGCCATTGTGGACGCACAAACGAGTCAATTCACCCAGAAGGCCAACTTGGACGCCTGAAGGTACCTTAATGGGTATTCGTAGAGCTGCAGTGTCACGTCGTTTTTTTTTACACCGCCCTCCACTTATTGTTTCTGTGGATAGGATCGGTATTGGAAAAATGCCAGTGAAAAATCAGACTTGAAGAAAAGATGCTCAAATGTGGTAAGCATTTGCCATAACTAGAGCTGCAAGTGCTCTGTCAAGGAGGGGTCGAGAATCCAGAGTCAGGACCCCTCCATCCGTGCTTGCTGCCGGTGCCGGCGCCGGGCCGTGGATGCGACCGATAGCCGTCCACGGGTAATAGCTCAGGTTGGCTTCCTTGCCTTATGTAATATAAGCATTTCAGGCCTTTCTAGGGTACCTGGGGCGGGCTGAATTCAAATTTCCATTGAAAGTGCCTGAGGTGAGGTTCTAAGGCAAGAACCTGCCCGAAAGTCTATGTAAGCTGCAGCAGGGCCCGCCTGGGACGGGTCCCACATTAACACCCGCTGAGCGCATCGGGAGAGCTCCAACGAAAGGAGGACCCCGGCCTCGGATTTCGATGCTCACAATGCAAAGCTTCAATCCAAAAAATCCCGTCGCATCTTCACCACCACCAACACCTCAACCACCACCACCACATCCTCCTCCGCCATTGCTTTCATCTTCTTCGCATACCTCTCAAGCGCCCGAGCAGTGGCAAATCAATAGAGCAAAACAGCCAAAATGACCACAGTCCCCCACCTCCGCTCCCTCTACCGCTCCCTCCTCCGCGAGCTCCCGCCCCGACCCGTCCTCGCCCGCGAGCGCTCGGCAATCCACAACCGCCTGCGCACCAGCTTCGCCGCAGCCCCCGTCGCCGTAAAGGAAGACTCGTCCCGCGCCGCGGCCGACGCCGCAGAGGCCGAGCAGTTCGCCGCCTACCTGCGCGCCCAGCGCACCTACGTCACGCTCCTCGAGCGCTACAACCCGGGCATGAACATGGACGAGGAGGAGCGCGTGCGCTTGACGGCGCGGAGGGTCGGCATGGATCTGCCCAAGGAGTTTAGGGACCGGTTGGAGAATAAATAAAGCGCCTGTTCTGACTGCTATCGATGGTGGGATGAAGTCTTTTTCTGACAGAGAGAGGGGGGCGAGAGTGTGTGGCCCTTCAGGACCGAGATGGATGGTTTGAGGAGGTGACCGCGATGAATGGGCCAATGGATCGATTACGAAGCTCGGCTCTACGAAATTGTATTGGAGAAGCTGTCGACTAGAAGTGAGGGAGATGCGATCAATGAAATCCTCGATGGGGGATGCAGAAGCACAAGATCGAGGGACGGCGACCACCCCTCCACTCTTGGAAGAAGGTGCCGTGTTTATAAATGTAATATAATGGGCGTTTGGGTGGGAAAGTTGTTGTACGAAACTTAACGGGGCGCAGAGAACATCACTCAAAGACAGAGAGGAAAAAAGACATGAAAAAACACTACGATTCACTTTGGAAATACTGGTTGAAAATCTCATGCCGTTCAATATCATGTCTTCGTGCCATGTCTAGCTAATTCCTGGTTCACAAAAAACCTCCTACCAAGAGTTTTCTTGGAAAATATATACAAGAAGTGTAAATAAGAGTCGTTATACGCAAAGGGGTATCAACGTCTTCGTCGCCGTGAAGATATATAAGAAAGTAAATCATACC